CATCTGGAAGTTCACAGTTCATGTATTGCTGAAGCCTGGCTTGGAGAATTTTAAGCATTCCTTTACTAGTGTGTGAGATGATATGATATCCATTATACTAATCAAAAAACTTAATTTTAGACATGAAAACCCATTTATAGCATTCATTTTATTGATTAGCATAGTTTGAAGTGTTAATGGAAGACAGTGATAGCTGAAGCACTTATCCTTGCTGTGTTTGGAAAACAGTCTTTCTGATTAAACACCATCCAAATACTTCTAGTGTGAACTCTAGATTATGGCAACTGACAATCATTAGATGATAAAGTAACTTAAGTAACATATATGAATGCATATCATATTACCTACACTAAAGTATTTTGAGGTAAGGTATAACAAACTAGTGGTAAAGAGCCTGCTTGCCAATGTAGGAGACACAAGAGATGCAGGCTCATTCCCTGGATCGGGAAGATCACGTGGAGGAGGGTATGACAACCCATTCCATATTCGTGTATTCTTGTCTGGAGAACCCCATGGATAGAGGAGCTGGGCACACTGCAGTCCATAACATGCATGCATGCACATAACAAGCAAATTCAAACTGACTTAACATTCCACACAATATTCAGCACTGAATATTGAGGATGAGTAGCAGAAAAGTCAAACTATGTTGATTTGATTTGAAGGCTCACATAAATGAACAATGAATACAGGAAAAGCAAGGGGCCAGAGGAGGACCTGTTTAAAACTTTTCTAGCTTGTTTTTTGCAGCTTGTTCCTTATATGCTTTCGTCTATTTGCAATGCCACAGATCTTTGTTTATTTGATCAGCATTCCAGCTCCATGTCTCCTTCAATTTTTGGTCACAAGATGACTACCTTCAACAACAAGGACCACATGCTTTCTCATTCAAATCAAGGATGGGGTAGGAGGGGAGAGGGTGCCACGTCTCACAACCTTGGGCAAAGTTCTGTGGTTGCTGCTCACTTTCAAACCATTTGTTATGGCCAGGGAAACACCATAGGTCAGGACTGATCCAAATTAGATTTATTTTGAGATAAGGGTGAGGTTAGTTCCACCTAAATTTCTGAGGTATGTGCTACACAACATAGGAAGAATAAAATAAATGTCAGGCAAGCATTCACTACAATCACTTTCAAAGCATGTAAATATATAACAATGATATAATTCTGTCTGTTGAAGTGGAAAAAAAAAAAACCTTACTCTAAGCATATGTAATAAAGATCCTGACTCTATTTTTGATGTTTGACTACTGACAACTTTCAAGCCTCACCCATTCTCTCTTGACCTGCATCTGGGCAGGCTGATATGAAAGCCCCGATGCTCCTTCTCTGGTGCCCTGGAGAAATTCAAGTTGCAGAAGCCCTGGCGGTCACATGAGAATTTTCATCTTAGAGCCACAGCCTAGCCGCCATAAAATGCCCAAGGCCAGTCTTCTCCAACTCCACTGCAGAGACATTTTGACTTTGCTTGGAAGGCTTGCCCTGCTCTTTCTAGAAAGTCTCATTATGTGAGCAATAACTTACATATACCCCTGATGTATGTGTGGTTGAAATCTGAACCAAATTTCAGGTGTTGTGTCCATTTCACTTCTGTGGGTGATTGCAATAGCATAAAAGCTATAAGAGCAATAAGTTGTAGTGTTTCATTAGTCTTATCAACAAGTGTATCATCTTCCTCCTGAATCCCCTACTTTGAAAATTACCAGAAACTTGGGATATATCTTTTGTTCTCTCTTAATTTTTCTTTTCCTTTTTTTTTTTTCTGCCCACCATGGCTTTCAAATCCTCTTTGCCAACTTCATGGCTACTGCCTCAACTCAGACTTTCAAAATTTCTCATTCTAATTATTCCATCAGTCTTCTAATAATTGGTTTGTTTTCCCAGTCTTGGCCATTTATTTTCTAATATCTCCATCTTCCACACTGCTCCTGAAGTAATTTTCCCCCAAACTTGCCTAAACAATCCATTAGATTTCCATTAGATTTCAAACTCCTTAAAAGTTAGCAAAACTATTCATCTTGCCCTATCTACATTTTTCCATTTCCTCTGCCACATTTCCACTCATCATCACCTTTGCTTCCATTATACCTACATACACACTACACAACACTTAAGTCAACAGTTCATATGCAAGGAAATACATATAAAGGTACATGGTTCTTTGTCTGGAGCACATTTTCATCTCTTCTTAGCTTGGCCAATTCTAATTGATTCTTCAAGATTCATCTTGTGCTTTACATTTTATGAGAAGTGCTTCCTGTTTAGTGTCGAGTGAGTGAGATGTTCCTCCACATTTCAACAACAAACTCGATTTCAGCGCTTACTATCATTCTAGTTGATTTGATCCTCTACATCTTTCTCCGAGTTTGATCTTCTTGAGGGCAGGAACTATGTTTCTCGTCTCAGAAGGTTACAATCTATTAGGGTGGTAAGTCTGCAGATACATAAATAACAAAGGTAACTAACAATAAAAAAGATGACTTACGGAAAGTAAGTAATAGAGTCACAAGTTCTAGAGGAGGTAAAAAGGCTCACTGTGGAGAAATTAGGGCCTTAGTACATTGCGAATGGGAATGAAAAAATAGCAGCCACTTTGGAAAACAGTTCAACTGTTCCTCAAAAGGTTAAACATAGAGTTACTACATGACTCAGCAATTCCACTGCTCTCCCTCTCTCTCTCTCTATATATATATATATACTCAAGAGAAATGAAAACATATGTTGATACAAAAACTTGTATATCAATGTTTACAGAAGCATTACTCATAATAGCCTAAAAGTGGAAACAATTCAAATGTCTACCAATTGAAGAATGGATAAACAAAGTTTGTCAACATGGCTTGAAGTGAAAGAAGCCAGTCACAAAAGACTGTATATTGCATGATTCTGTTCACAGGCCATGTCCTGAATAGACAAACCTATAGAGACAAAAAGTAGATTAGTACCTGTCTAGGGCATCAGGGGGAAGGGAACAAGAGGAATGGGGAGTGACTGGCAAAGGTTATGAGGTTTCTCTTGGGGGTGGTGAAAATGTTCTGAAGTTGATTGTTGTGATCGTGGCACAACTTTGTGACTATACCAACAACCACTGAATTGTACTTAATGAAAGGAGAGAAAGACTTCCTGGAGCTGGAGAAATCTGGATACACAAATGAATGATGTGAAAAGCAGAGATAGCATGTTGTAGTGAATTAACAAATCTTTTTGTTCGGCAGACTTGATCTGAATCTGCTCTGCCACTTGGTCAAGTTACCTTTCCTAAGCCTGTATCCTCATCTGAAAAGTGAATATATCAGTATACTTATTTCAGAGGATTAGTGTGATGACAAATTATATAACAGATGAAAATATTTAGCCGAGAACAAAGAGAGTGTTTAATAAATATTATTTTCTATTATTATTATAAATCTGTTCAATATTGAATATTGGATTAGGTGGGACAGAAGGAGCATGTTATATCAGTGAAAACTCTCAGAAACTCATTTGACATTTGTAGCAGAAAGAAATTTGAGGCAGAAAATAAAACAAAGATAATTGTATGTATTCAGCTTAAGAAACATTTATTAAATTCTTTCTTCTAATCACTAGACACTGTGCTAGATTGCAAAATATAAAAGATAAAGGAAAAGCAGACTAAAAGATGGTCAAATGAGAAGTGGTCCTTGACTTGGTGGTCCAGTACACAGATAAACAAATAATGTGTAAGAAAGTATCCTATTTCTTATAATAGAAATGTTGGCTTTGCACACACCTAAGATGGTGGACAGGAAAAGAAGGGTACACAAGAGGTTACATCCGTGCTCAATATTGAAACTTGTTTGTTAACCCCTTGAGCCTGCAATTACTGGAAAAATGATTGTTAGGATTCTTTGCTGACATTTTCCACCTCCAATACAAAGCAGAGATGATTACAGGCTTGATCCACTTTTCTTCAATGGAAAGATGAGAAAAATTATCTCCAAAATGTTAAAGTCCAAAACATTAAAGAATGCCTGTTATACAATGATCACCAATATTCCAGACACTAATGATCAAATTCCCAGGCTACCTGTCTTTCTTATTTGGCTGTTGACTCCTTGAAGGCAAAAATCTTGAGTGTATCTTGTGCTCTTCTGGATTGTTCCAATCTGGCTCAGTAGTAACATTAGAAAATTATTAAACAAATGTTTCCCAAATCCCTCTTGGCTTTCCCTCTGTGCTGGTAAAGAATTCACCTGTCAATGCAAGAGTCACAGGTTTGATCTCTGGGTGGGGAAGATCCACTAGAGAAAGTAATGGCAACCTACTCTAGTTATCTTGCGTGGGAAAGCCCATGGACAGAGGTACCTGGTGGGCTACAAATCATGGGGTTGCAAAGAGTCAGATATGACTCAGTGGCTAAACATCAACAAATCCCTATTATGTCAAGATTGGAAGAATCTTTATTAAAAAAAAATCTATATAACTGTGGGTGTCTTCCCTAGCAGCTCAGATGGTAAAGAATCTGTTGGCAATGTGGGAGACCTAGGTTAGATCTGAAATGGAACAACAAAACAGCTTTATATAACCATGCTTGTTTTCAAATAAAATGGTCAGTTTTGTCATTCTCTGTTTTCTTTAGGAGAAACTATTTGAAGGTTTGGAAAACAGGGGGTACCTTGGTAGCTGAAAACAGACTTTCCTTTGAATAGAGATGGTATGTTCAGATCGTTGTGGTGTGGAGATAAAGACAAGAACAAACGTAATTCTATAGGAGAGCTCTTTGGCTGGAGTCATGTAGCAGTGGTCTGGAGAGGCTCTGGGCTTGACTGCAACCGGGTGTTTTGAGAGTTCAGATGGTCAAGCGGAGACGCTGTCTAGTCCACTCTTCTCTTGAGCATTTTAGTTCCAGTATTTAGGGTACTCTGCTTGGAGGTGGTTAAGAAATCAGGGCCCACTCTTCTCAGGACCAGTCCTACAAAGTCCTAGACAGGAGTGCCATTACAGGGATGGTTTGACTTGTATGGGTTAGGCACAGAATCAGGGTCTGTCATTCAAGTGAACAAGAAGCTGTAACCAACAGGAGGTAGCGCCTGAGTCAACCTGTTTCACACGGAAGCGCTCTGACGACCACAGGAGCCAAGAGTGGCGGGCCTCGAAAGATGGGGCCTGGGGCTCGCGCTTGGCCTGGGCAGACGTGACGCGCCTGTGGGCGTTGAGTGACAGGCGCGGAGTTGGGCGGGCCTTGGCGGAAATCAACTTCCGGGGGCAGAGGCTCTGGAAGCCGGGTGGTGAGTGCGCGGTCCCAGCGCGTGTGCCGGGGCCGCAGTCCCCGGGGTCTGGGTCGCGCCTGGGTGCGCATGCGCGGCTGTGTGCTGGGGTCGGCTCACCTGCGCTGTGGGGAGCAGCGCGGCCGTGGTGGCAGTGGCAGCAGGCGGCAGCGGCGAGAGCCGGGGCGCAGGTAAACGGACGCTCGCCTTCTGGGCCTGGGTCTGGGGCCCGGGCCGCACGAGGCGGGCGGCGCGCCCTGAGACGGCCTGGGCAAGGGCGGGGAGCGCGGCCGGGCTTCCGCCACCGGCGGGTACGGCCCCGGCCCGGGGAGGTCTCGGCCGAGGAGTCACGGGGCGTGACCCGCCGCGGGCTGGAGCTGAGCCTCGCTCCCCAGCGGGCGGTGTCTACCCGTGCTTGCCCTCGCCGGCAAATTTCTGCCCCTGCATGTTCCAGAACCTACTGTTTTCTGAAGTCTACGCACAAGTACACGTGATTACTGTGTCACCAAAGCTCCCTTAAACGGTGACTTTGATCCTTGTAGAGTTTTCACCGATCGCGCCTGGTTTCTGTTTTCCCTTTGACTTAAGCACAACAGGATCCGTCAGTCAGTCACATTTCCTTGTCGTTACTTTGGGCCACAGACTGCAATAAAAGTAGCATTTCAGGGTGAAGGCAGTGGCTGGTAAATTTCCAAGTGGTGAGGCATCCATCATCCCTTTCAGTGCGCCCCTTCTCCCACAGTAAAGATGTTTCTTCCATCTGCCCTTGTTGCATACTGCGGAGCAAAGCTTTGGACGTAAAACCTATGTTTGGCTTCACTTGAAGGAATGAGAACTCTATTAAATAAAGCAGCTCTGAGTGGGTTTTTGGTGTTTTTTTTTTTTTTTTTGGTAGGATGATGTTGCTGCTGTTACTCTCACTTGCTTCCCTGATGAGAGTTGGGGCACAGCCTGATTTCCTGGAGGGTCAAGTTCTGACCACAGCTGTAGGTGATTCAGCGGCGCCTTAGGAATTAGGACTTTTTCTCCTTATCTCCCCTTCTGAACTGTACAGGAACTGATGCCCACCTTACTCGTTAAATATTTATCTGGGCGGTAGTTGGACGAAGGCTTTTGGACGGCATTTTGGATGTTGCATTCGTGCTGGTGATTGGGGGTGGGCTGACGTTTCATCTTGTCACAGGGGGATGGGCTAGCATTTCACCCTACAATTTAATTCCCAGGATATTTAGTTGGGTGGGATGACGGGGACTGGCAATAAATTCGCGTTGTTCTCTGCCATCGGAGACCTGTATCCTTCATCTCATTTGCTTTCTGCTGCAGTTTCTGTTGCTTTGAGTGGATTAGCACTACTGTACCTGTAAGGTTAATGGAGCTGGAGGGTGCCAGAGAGTGCACCTGTATAGTGCTGGCGAGTGAGTAAATTGTGTGGTAGAGAATTGCCCTGGTTACAAAGTTTGGTATCCTGTAGGCAGCCGGCTAGGAGGTTGTTCAGTGAGTTGGGAAATCTTATTAACTGTTGCTGGTTTCCCAGCAACAGTACACGCCAAATGGAATAAACATAAAGAAAACAAAGTGGTGAAAGTTACAATTTACCTAACTTTTATTAAATGGAAAAATGTATCTTCTTATTGGAGTGATCAGCTCAAAACTCCTGTTTTATTAGAAACTGCAGAAAGTCATCTTAGACAGCATTTTTTTTTTTTTGGTGGCAGTGGGGGAAAAAAAGAAGATAGATGGTTACCAAGTAGCTAGTCTGAAGCTTAAAAGGACAAATAGGAATTTGCCTAGTTAGAGGCATTTTATCTTGTATTCCTTGCTATAGATATACGATTGTAAAGTATATAGGATGGTTATGAATAAATAAAACTATGTTTATTGTCTTGTTCTTCATAGTAGAAATTGGGGTGGAAGTGCATTTGGTTGGATGAGGTCGTTTTTACTAATAACTTGGGAAGGGCATGTTTAGGTGAGTGTTTCCAAATTTTAGCTTGTAATCACTGTGCCTCCTTTATCAATCTGTTACTTGTGACTTTTGGTCTTTCTTGAAACTCATCAAATCTTATTTTCTGTCTAAACAATGAGAACAATAAAAAGGACACACTGGAGTAACTTTTTGGATCAATGTGTTTCTTCTTACTAATGATAAATCAGTTTTTTGATTTGTAATATTTCTGAGAGTTTTTTGTTTCCCCCTTTGTTTCTCCTCCACCCCAATACCCATTTAGATGGGTTGTCATTTAATTTGAAACATATTTTTCAAAGCTTCGCTGGTGGCTCAGTGGTAAAGGACCCACCTTCTAATGTAGGAGACTGGGACTTGGTCTCTGGGTGACAAATATTCCCTGGAGAAGGAAATGGCATCCCATTTCTGTATTCTTGCCTAGAGAATTCCTTGGACAGAGGAATCTGGTGGGCTACAGTCCATGCATTGCAAAGAGTCAGACATGACTGAGCAATTAAACAAGAACAACAACATAGTTTTCAAAAGAGCATGTCCTCTGTCTTTTAAAATGTGGGCTTATTGAGGTATTGTTTATAAGTAAAAACAATGCCTTAGTATCTTGTTCTTTAAACGGACACATGCATAATATTCATATAACTACTACCACAATCCAGACATAGAACATTTCTGTCATTCCAAAAAGTTCCCTCATGCTCCTTTGTAGTTGGTTTCCTCCCCTCAGTGGTAAATCAGGCAACCACTGATCTGTTCCCTATCCGTATAGCTTTATCTTTTCTGGAGTGTTATATTAACGGACTCATACAACAAATAGAATTTTTTTCTGGTGTCTTTCACTTAAGGCTTTTGCGATTCATCCATTTTGGTGCGTGTATCAGTGCTTTGCCCTTTTTTGCTTTATTGCCGAGTAACTATTTCATTTCTTTGCATTGATCACTGAGGAAGGCTTTCTTATCTCTCCTTGCTATTCTTTGGAACTCTGTATTTAAATGGGTATATCTTTCCTTTTCTCCTTTGCCTTTAGCTTCTCTTCTTTACTCACCTATTTGTAAGTCCTCCTCAGACAACCATTTTGCCTTTGTTTTTGTTTTTATTGGGGATGGTCTTGTTCACTGCTGCTGTACAATGTCACAAACCTTCGTCCATAGTTCTTCAGGCACCCTGTCTGTCAGATCTAATTCCTTGAATCTATTAGTCACTTCCACTGTATAATCATAAGGGATTTGATTTAGGTCATTCCTGAATGGTCTAGTGGTTTTCCCTACTTTCTTCAATTTAAGTCTGAATTTGGCAATAAGGAGTTCATGATCTGAGCTGCAGTTGGCTCCCAGTCTTGTTTTTGCTGACTGTATAGAGCTTTTCCACTTGTGGCTGCAAAGAAAATAATTAGTCTGATTTTGGTATTGACCATCTGGTGATATCTATGTGTAGAGTCTTCTTTTGTGGTCTTGGAAGAGGGTGTTTCCTATGACCAGTGCATTCTCTTGGCAAAACTCTGTTAGCCTTTGACCTGCTTTATTTTGTACTCCAAGGCCAAATTTGCCTGTTACTCCAGGTATCTCTTGACTTTCTAGGGACTTTTGCATTCCAGTCCCCTATGATGAAAGGGATATCTGTTTTGGTTAGTTCTAGAAGGTCTTATAGGTCTTCATAGAACTGTTTAGCTTCAGCTTCTTCAGTATAGCTAGTTGGGGCATAAACTTGGATTATTGTGATATTGGATGGTAGAATGGGAAAGACTAGAGATCTCTTCAAGAAAATTAGTGATACCAAGGGAACATTTCATGCAAAGATGGGCACAATAAAGGACAAAAATGGTATGGACCTAACAGAAGCAGAAGATATTAAGAAGAGGTAGCAAGAATGCACAGAAAAACTATACAAAAAGGGTCTTCATGACCCAGATAACCATGATGTGTGATCACTCATCTAGAGCCAGACATCCTGGGATGTGAAGTCAAGTGGGCCTTAGGAAGCATCCCTACAAACAAAGCTAGTGGAGGTGATGGAATTCCATTTGAGTTATTTCAAATCCTAAAAGATGATGCTGTGAAAATGCTGCACTCAATATGCCAGTAAGTTTGGTCAGCAGTGGCCACACGACTGGCAAAGGTCAGTTTTCATTCCGGTCCCAAAGAAAGACAATGCCAAAGAATGCTCAAACTACTGCACAATTGCAGTCATCTCACATGCTAGTAAAGTAATGCTCAAAATTCTCCAAGCCAGGCTTCAACAGTACGTGAACTGTGAACTTCCAGATGTTCAAGCTGGATTTAGAAAAGGCAGAGGACCGGAGATCTAATTGCCAACATCTGTTGGATCATCAAAAAAGCAAGAGAGTTCTAGAAAAACATCCACTTCTGCTTTATTGATTACGCCAAAGCCTTTGACTGTGTGGATCATAACAAACTGTGGAAAATATTTCAGGAGATGGGAATATCAGACCACCTGACCTGCCTTCTGAGAAATCGGTATGCAGGTCAAGAAGCAACAGTTAGAACCAGATATTGAACAATGGACTGGTTCCAAATCAGGAAAGGAGTATGCCAAGGCTGTATAGTCTCAACCCTGCTTATTTAACTTCTATGGAGAGTACATCATGAGAAACGCGGGGCTGGATGAAGCACAAGCTGGAATCAAGATTGCTGGGAAAAATATCAATAACCTCAGATACGCAGATGATACCCCTATTTTGGCAGAAAGTGAAGGAGAACTGAAGAGCCTTTTGAAGAAAGTGAAAGAGGAGAATGAAAAAGCTGGTTTAAAACTCAGCATTCAAAAAACAAAGTTCATGGCATCCGGCCCCATCACTTCATAGCAGATAGATGCGGAAATAATGGAAACAGTGACAGATTTTATTTTCCTGGGCTTCAGAATCATTGCAGATGGTGACTGCAGCCATGGAATTAAAGGACGCTCCTTGGAAGAAAAGTTATGACCTAGACAGCATATTAAAAAAAGAGACATTACTTTGCCGACAAAGGTCTGTCTAGTCAAAGCTGTGGTCTTTCTAGTAGTCATGTATGGATACGAGAATTGGACTGTAAAGAAAGCTGAGCACAGAAGAATTGATGCTTTTGAACTGTGGTATTGGAGAAGTCGCTTGAGAGTCCCTTGGACTGCAAGGAGATCCAACCAGTCCATCCTAAAGGAAATCAGTCCTGAATATTCATTGGAAGGACTGATGCTGAACCTGAAAGTCTAATACTTTGGCTATCTGATGTGAAGAACTGACTCATTTGAAAAAACCATGATGCTGGGAAAGATTGAGGGCAGGAGGAGAAGGAGACGACAGAGGATGGGATGGTTGAGTGGCATCACCGACTATGGACATGAGCTTGAGCAAACTCTGGGAGTTGGTGATGGACAGGGAAGCCTGGCATGATGCAGTCCTTGGGATTGCAAAGTGTTGGACATGACTGAGTGACTCAACTGACTGCCTATTTCATTTTATGTCTATATCACAGTCTGTTTATTCACCAGTTGATGGATATTTAGGCTGTTTCCAGTGTTTATCATTTAGGAGTGAAGCGGCTATAAATGTTCACGTACATTTCTTTGTATATTCTTCTGTGGGTCTTTGTGTAAATATATGCTTTCACATCTTTTGGTTAAATTTCTAGGAGTATGACTCTCTGATCATGTGGCAAATGTTCACTTTAAAACAAATTACCAAAGATAAGAAATTACCAGCATTGTTTGATGCTTCCATTTTCTCCACGTGCTGGTCAGCATTTTTCATTTTACTTTTAATTTCAGCTATTCTAATAGATGTTTAGTGCTATCTCAATGACACTTTAGTTTGAATTTTCCTCTCAGCTAATATGTTGAGCTTCCCTGGTGGCTCAGATGGTAAAGAATCTGCCTGCAATGTGGGAGACCTGGGTTCGATCGCTGGGTTGGGAAGATCCCCTGGAGGAGGGCATGATAACTCACTCCAGTATGCTTGCCTGGAGAATCCCCATGGACAGAGGAGACTGGTGGGCTGCAGTCCATGGGGTTGTGAAGAGTTGGACACGACTGAGCCTCTAAGCACAGCAATACGTTGAGCATCTTTTCATGTGCTCATTTGCTGTCATTTGCTATCTTGTGTGTTTTCTTTTGTGAAGTATCTGTTAAAATCTTTGGTCTGTTTTCTGAGTTGTAAGAAGTCTGGATACAATTCCTTTATCATATATATGTTGACAGATATTTTCTTTCAGTCTGTGGT